AAACAGAAATGCTTAGTTAAACAACGGATATAACGAACTATCGGCAAATAGAACTCGGGGGTAAAAAATGCGAGAAAAAAAAACATTATAAAGATTTGAAGAAAAAATTGAAGAATAGGCCGGGGCCTAAAAATTAAGAAAAGACTTCAAGCATGAGATTATGGAAAAAGAAAGTAAAAGCTGTGAAGTTTTACACGGGGATTCTACTTACAAAAAATTCAAGAACTTTCACGACTTTTTGTGTAACAACAAAGAGAAGGTTTGAAAAGTTTTGTATGTAATATCCTTTTTGTGTGTGTTTTATTGATAAGTGATCATTTTAAATGTTGTAGGCCCATCACAGGTTTTAGTCTCTAATAACCCTTAGCAGGTTGGGTTCTATTTTTTTTTTTTAACGTGAGACGTTAATAAAATTTTTATTATTATGTATTCAGTCCCGTATACGTATTACTGATTTGTACAAATATTTAATGGGGCTCATATTATCAAGATCAACAGAGACATACGAAGAAGAAAGTTCATCGGCTCATGTTGAACGCGTTATCGGCGAAATAAAAAGTTATTTATTTCTGAACTCAATGACAAGAGAATTGGAAAATACAAAAAATGCAGAAAAGCCTTTCTGTAAGCTACACGTACATAATACATGTATGGTAAAGACAAAATGGATAATAAACATAATCCAACAACGTATTTGTAAAGTAATACAAATATGCTTAGTATTAAAGTAGGCCTACGTATATTTAACTGTCTTAGATAGTTGAAAAGTATGAAATGTGTGGGAAACACTTTATTTGAATGATTTAATTGGCTGTGATTGAAAACGATGAAAATACGCATGAAAACATTTAAAAATCAAATAATTTGGCCTCTTGCTATAATTTTGTTTTTGTTTCAGTTTGACAAAATTTTCATACTTGTCAGACCGAAAGGCTGACATTTTTTACCTGTCCTAAATTTGGTACATATACTAGAGTAAGACACGGTAAACTTTAATTATCGTCTGGGAAAGATTCGAGAATTCCTGTCTCAGCTATTTAACACTTAAAAGGTTTTAATTACAGAGGAAAGGTCGTAGTTGTGGCCGCCCGCCTTACCGAACAATTGAACAAGTAACACCTGATGCCTTATCAGGTACCAAACGATTTAATCAGTTCACCGACGAACGATCTGCGTGTCAGTTTTACCTGTATACACAGTAGCTACGAGTCAAACAATGCAGGAAATCTTTTCATTTTATCACTTTAAAAATCTCTTAAGATATCCTTCAAACAAGACATAAAAATCGTAATGAATTGACACTGCCGGTACATGAGGTGATATCGCCACAGCTTGCATATATACATGTACAAAATTGTGAAGACGTAGGCCTGCCCACCTGTCCACACTCTTGAAAGCTGTGTACGAGTCTACTGGCTATTTTGATTTTATATATAATAAAAAACGAGTCTCTTTCGCATATCTTTATTATCGGAAGCATTTAAAAGAACTCCGAAGCTTTAGTTCGTCATCACTATTGAAAGTACAGCCAATGCTCGGACGCTTACGTGAAGTCTATTTGTAAAGCGCATCGTATTTAAACTGAGAAAGAAAATATTTAATTGCTTGATTCTCCGTCCAAATAGCTGTTTCTTGCCTACAGTTTACGCATTTCTGTGCTTCAGCCACCTTTTTAATTTGACAGAAAGCAATGCACGCTTCATACGACCTTTTTATATGCGCACCTTGTACATCATCTACACCTAGCATTGCCATGCTGGAAACAGCAGAGGACCACTATGACCCCTGTGGCGCGCGGTTCCTGTCATGCCCACTTCGTATTTCCGCAAAAGATGAAAAAGGTTAATAGGGGAGACCGGGGCTAGTTGGCCCAGTTAAACACTTTTGGCCTTGTAGAGCCAACTAGGAGTGGGTTAGAGTAACAAAACCGGTTTCAAAGTAAGCCCCATGAACTAAGCTACGTATGCAATGTCATTATTTTTCAAATATAACGCCAGGTGGCTCACAATTTGACAAAAAACGCAGTTGACGTCAGGGGGGCCAACTTGCCCCGCCATGGGGCAAGTTGGCCCCAGGGTCGGGGCAAGTTGGCCCCCCTATACGAAAATGAAGTATATATCCCATGTAAACGCCTTGAAATACATTTTTATAAATTTTTAATTTATTTAATTGATTTTTGAGAGTCTTTGATGAATAAACAGTTCAAATGAGGCAGATTTATTGAGGTTTCCGTACGTCACGTTGTTGGGGGGGGGTATGTGTTGCAAGAACCAAAATATCTATCAATAAATGTGTTTTGTTTTAATTAAGAATAAATAAATAATGGTATAAAGAAGGTTTTTAAAGAATGAAAACGAATAATAAATTTTCTTTTTAAAAGAAAGTAACAAATTCAGTTTTAAACCATTGAGTTTGTTTCAACAATGGTCTCTAGCTAGGGAGGGGTGGAAAATTCCCTTGGGGCCACATATAACACTATAAATACAAAGGAAATCCCCTTACAACGAATTAAGGCAAAATAAATGTTTTTCTACGGAAAGTCCAATGGGTTTGCTTTTTAATACTTACAATCAACAGAAAATTTATAATATAAATTATAATATAAATTTTCAAAAAGACACCAGAGAGAAAATTTTAAAAAAATCAATCACACGGTAATAGGCAAGCTTTGTCAATTTCACCAACTTGTTTATTTCAAACAGCGTTGCGCGCAAAGGTTTGTGGGTAATATGAGGGTCCACCTTCCCCCGAGTCAAGGGGGCCAACTAGCCCCGCGTGCACATTATTTATTTTAAAGGATGGTAGCCATTTATGGTGCTAGAATGAGCAACGATGATACATCTCTGTGAAACTTGAAACAATGAGCTTCAATTTGATGCCCTATACATATCTTATATTCGATCAAAAGCCTATGAAAATAGATTTTTAAATCTCTTAAACAAAATTACTTTTAGGTGCAAAAATCGTTTATTTCGACTCACCGCTTAAGTAAAACTTTTTAACGTCCGACACTTCCTTAGCATTGTAGGCTACGGTCACTTTGCAAGAGTATGTGGCCAATTTTTTTACCTCGTATTTACTTTTTCATAAATTGACGGGGGGCCAACTTACCCCGGGGTCCAACTAGCCCCGGTCTCCCCTACGCTAAGTAGGCCTCCAGCAGGTTAGGGTTAGTCGGAGCAGGGAATTATATCGGATATAATTCCCTGGTCGGAGTAATTACGGTTAGTATATGGGGCGCATGTCACCTTTTCAAAGTAATGGGGTACGGACCTCGGTTCCTAGCGGACTTCCATTCCTGTTACACCTGCACACGTTACACGCCGACATCACATACTAAGTCCGATATTTCCCACTAACCCTAACCTTTATGTTGGACCCTGGACATTCATTTCTAGGTAAAAAGGACAACCGGCCAATGCTCTTTTTACGCCGGTTGTAGGCCTACCCGTAGCTTCCAATGTGCTTTCCACAGTATCATTGAATAATATTAGCACAGTGGTTTTTAGACTTTGTACCCGTGACCCATAACAATAGTGCACATTCAAGCTACGCTGAAGCTTATAAAAAGTCCGTTCGAAAGCAGGGAAGAAACAAAATACCTCTGATACCTCGCTGCGTGACGCAGTCTACTCAAATGGCGGTAATGCACTTGTGTTTTCTATTGCTCGTCGGTGCCTTCATCAGCCTCTACGGCGGAGCCATCGGCGCTAAGATTCTGCTGTATCCATACTCTCAAATGTACAACTCCCGTTTCCGAAACATTATGAAGATTGGGCAAATGATGGCAGCGAGAAACCACAGCGTAAGCATGTTGATCACGACCGATATTAATCTTAAGGATATACCCGAGGGGATAATGGTCTTAACTGTCAAGGTAGACTATGAAACTTTGTCATTTTCCAGTGAAGAACTTCTTACCGATGTCCACAAAAACCCCTTTCCTCTCGTCATGAAATTGGTTGAGAAAAGCAGGGGCACGTTGGATGCACTTTTTGGGAACAAAGAGCTACTAGATACTCTGATTTCTAAAAAGTTTGACCTTCTGTTTTATGACATAATTGCTACAGAGAGTTTAGTATTGAGGGATTATTTAAACATCCCGGGAGTCGGGTATTCTAATTTGGGATTCGATGGCGACTGGACGGTATATCCTGAACACCCTGCCTACATGCCAAATATTATTACAGGATACTCGGATCATATGAGTTTTTGGGAGAGATTAATGAACACATTGATGTTAACGATGACTGTATTTTTTAAGTACTATGTCACGGCTCCTTTTAATGATGCAAAAGAAAAATACAACCTCAACAAGTCCTTGCCAATTACGACATCTTATACCAGATTGTCTATACTGATAGTTAACGTAGATTTTGCTTTTGACTATCCCCGCCCCGTTTACCCTTGGGTAAAAACGGTGTCGGGTATCCTTTTCCACCCTGCAAAACCCCTATCTAAAGATTTGGAAGAGTTCGTGGAATCTTCGGGAGAACACGGCATCATTATCATGAGTTTTGGGTCGATGGTAGCCGAACTTACGCCAGAAAAAGCAGAAATAATAGCCAGGGTTTTTGCACAACTTCCGCAGAAGATTATATGGCGAAACAATAATTCTGATATTTCTGGATTGGCAAATAACACGAAAGTTATGAATTGGATACCACAAAATGACCTTGTTGGTCATGCAAAAGCGCGTCTCTTCATCACTCACTGCGGAATTAGTGGTTCACACGAGGCGCTATATCATGGGGTCCCTGTTGTTGCTGTACCCCTGTTTGTAGATCAATTTAGCCACGCAACAAAGTTTGTTGAACGTCTTGGAATGGGGGAGAAGTTGGACTTCTACAATATAACAAGATCTACTTTCTCTGCAGTTATATTGAAGGTTCTGAATAACCCTAGCTATTTTGCCAACGCTAAGCGTGCAGCAGCTATGGTTCGTGACCAGCCGATGGACGGAAAGGAAACACTGATGTACTGGGTTGAGTATGTTATCAGAAACAATGGAACGTTGCATTTCCATTCTCAGGCGATGGAGAGACTTAGCTGGTACCAGTATTTATTGCTAGACGTAATAATCTTCCTATTTATGGTTGTAGTATGTGTTTTTATCTTTCTTATCTTTTGTTCCAAAATGTTGTGCAGTCATGTTTTCAAAGTACAACCTCAGTTAAGGAAGAGGGACAAAACTGATTGATATACAGGGGCGGATTTAGGCCGTCTTCTGGGTCTTCCGGAAGACGGTCAGATTTTTAAGTTTACATTGACGGGTATCTATTATTTTCTGTCGGAAGACGGTCAAAAATTGAGGACGAATTAACAAAGATTATTTGGAAGACTGTCAGAAAATATCTCTGGATCCGCCCCTGATATATATGTACGTCTTTCGTTTTTTAATGTTGCTTTAGGTCTCATTCATGTGCACGTTGTATGGGAGATTAGGGGTCAATTTTAACGGAGATATAAGCTTAAAGGCGACGATCCATATTGGGACTATCCTTAAGCAGCGTACTGTTACAAACTACATGTACACGTATAACGGCAGTCACTTGTATTGTATTGTATTCTAAGATTACTGTAAATATCATATATCATTATAACTGTATTCATAAAGCGAGAACTAACTCACTAACTGCCAAAACAATAATTTTAATTAATGCGACATTTCTGAACATCGATTTCCTCAAAATGTAAAATGAAGATTCTGTATTTGTTGCAAAAGACCATTTCTAAGTGGTAGATCAACTTGACCTGTGTGAAGCGCTTTAGGCAACGTGAATCATCCATGATAACATATGTAGTTTTTAAAAGTTACATACAGTAGTAAAGGTGTATTTACAAGAATCTCATCCCGCTCTTCCATTTGTTGGCGTTTTAGTGTGAAAACCGTTCAATCCCTCCAGATTTCATCAAGGCAATATCTGCTGATATTGTTGAGCCAAACAACAATATAAAAGTACATGTAAACAGCAACAGTATATGTTGATGTCACGTCTGTTTTGGGTAGAATTCAATTTCTGATATCGTTTTATTTACAGTTCACGGGACATAAAAGTGTATTCATATCTCACTGATAATGTGATTTGAAAATCCTGGGTAAAATGTCTTCGTTTGAAGAAGAGCGAAGAATAAAAATCCGCATTCACGAATGCTGGAATGGGGTGCTTCACGGATCACGCTAAATAAAATAAACGTTTCACTCATCTAATCAGATAAAGTGATTTCCAAATACATGTATTTTATACTTTGCAAAATTTTAAGAGAGAAAAAAGACATATTTCCATACTTTAATACTAAAAATATTTGTATTACTTTTCAAATATATGGCCAGATTATATTCATGATCCATCTAGTGTCTTTACCATATATCCGTGTTGTTAACACAACTGTGACGTTCATTTTGTTGTAACTTTGTGCTATATCATTTAAGGTTATTGTCACCCTTCGTCCCAAACTCCTTATCTACTGCCTTACATACATCCTTTTGGGTAAGAAATAAATCTTCAGTGTTCTTTAACATTTACACATATGTCATCTTACGGGTGACGTCATAATTGCGATTAGGGGGCAGAAACTGAAAAATTGGTTTCTCAAATTTCTCTTTTTACCTGATCATCCACGATAACCATTTCAACACCGATTTAATGACACCATTTAGTTCTTCAAAACACTGCCAGAAAATTTTCTTAAAAGTCCAATTTCCGCGATAAAATCTTGTTCAGGGATGAAGTTACACTCCATATCGATTGCTTTCTCACCTCAAAACAGAAAGGCGTTAAATTGACTATAAAGCTTTGAGTTGCTTATGCTTATACATTGCAACGAAAAAATATAAACGCTGATATTTTATATTTTCGAGGGATTTTTCATTGTTTTAGATCAGCACAAAGATAAATGCGTTATTGAATTATTAGATGCAGGAAAAAACTCATTTTCGGTATCTGGATGATTATAAAGGATTACAACATCCTTAAAGTCTACGCCAGAAATTGTGATAGTGCTTTGTGAGTTAACATTCCGAGAAATCTTTCCTAACAATCATCTCTTGTACCGGAACTGTGATTGGCGGCACCAATGATGGCACCATTAAACTGTAACAATAAACTTAATAAAATATGAACATATAGTCTTGTTACATGAGCTTCAGATATCCTAGTTTCTTCAGTCGATTGTCACTTTCTGGCCAAGACGCTGGCATATCACAATTTTTAACACTTCATCTGAAAAAAACGCTTTGTGCATTAACTAAAAAGAGAAACATAAAACCAATATCTTATACAATTCACTCGCCATTGAGTTCAGAAATGCATAATTCAATGAATGATAGTTTTTAATTTTGCCGATAACCGTTCAACATGAATTCTGAGCCGGGTGTATTTTCCTCTTCTTGTGTCGCTGTCTCGGTAATTTGAACCCAAATAGTACACATCCGTACTTCCTGGATACAAGAAGTCATGAAATTTCTTGAATTCATCATAAGTAGCAAACCCTGTGTAAAACTTAACAGGCTCTCGTATCTTATTCCATAACTTCATGCTGAAAGTGTTATCTTTCTTTTAATTTTCTACAACTATTTTCTTCAGATCTTTATAATGTTCTTTCGACACATCAATTCCCTCTGGATTTCATTTTTGCCCGTTGCAAATCGGCCCTCTATCACTTAAGATTCTTCAATTTCTCTGAAAAATCTCTTTGAAGACCGTGCACTTCTTACCTCCATTTAATAAATGATCCAAGTTTTTATCACATTTAAGCAGTTCGTTAGGGTATGAATACTGCTTACATTAAGAATGGTCATCGTGATATCCGTTGTCTCTTTTTACATTTTTAGAAATTTCATTTTCACTGACATGCAATTTTGTCTTGCCAAAGTAACCCCGATTAAATTACCTTTTTTTTTCATTTAAATATCGTTGGTCGTCTAATATTATAAATTTTCTTCCCGCCTTCGACATGTTTGGCGCAAACGCGGTCCCCCGTTCTTGGTCCAAACCTGCCAAACTTCCCTTTCTTTCCGCCTCTACCGATGTAGTCTACCGATATTTTTCATTCTGACGGGTCTGTTAGGAACTAAGACCCCATTTCCAGAGATTAGATCGATCTACTTTAGATCGACCTAACTCCCTGGGGGTTCACGCTAAATAGCTGTCAGCCGAGCGGACACGAAAGTTAATTACCCCCTTACAGCTTGTAGTAGGCGGGACGGACATTTAAGCCGGATTATCTGACAGTAATCTAGTGAGACTCCCCGCGAGGATAGATCGATCTAAAAGCTCTGGGAATACAGCCTAACATATTTCAAAGTGTCTTTCTCGCGTATTGTTATTATCGCAGTGGGAGACACAGCACGTAAACCGAGGCATGGTTCTTACATGTAGTACCGCTACAAGAGATTCGATAAAACAAGGACTCGCTTGCCCACATTGCAATTTCCTCATGGAGAATATGAAAAAGGCCTACAAGAGGTACCCTGAGTGTCAGAGCAACGTAAAAGCTAGCTTGCTAAATATACCTTGTGGTGGAGTCGCTTTTACTGGTATTGCTACTATGGGTTATATATGAAATCAAGATCGAGCTGGCAATACCGGAATCTAGAACCTAGGGTAACAAGAGGTGGATTTCGTCAGAAGATGAAACTAGTGTAGTGGCGCAAGTGATAATCATTACATAACTTTAAATAATGAGAGACAATTATGATGCGATGGACTTCTCTCTGAACATTTTGTCCATGCCCCACAACGAGGGAACATGGCGTTGCGATAGTGGACAGGGTTCATTTTAGCTCAATGAGAAACCGGTGTGACGAAAATTGTAGTCCTATAGAAAAAAATAGGAATGGAAGTCCGGGGTCCCATATGATTAGTACAGGTATGGGTTAGTCGGAGTATTGAGGGACGTCTGTCACCTGTACAAAGTAATGGGAGACGGATTACGGTTCCCAGCGGACTACCATTCCTGTTACACCTGTAACCATAGCAAAAATTTTGACAAATAAGTGTTGGTATTTACCAAAAAGCAGGGAAGAGAATGTGTTTGTAGATGATAGAGATAATGTCTCTTACGCGGATTCAGTGCTGCTAGTGTGCGCGCCGGTTGCGCGCCAAAAGTAAATTGCTTATAATTACATCATTAACTCGGCGGGGTCGTCTTTTGAACTCGGGACGGCTCAACGGTCATCTCTAGGTTGTTTTTGAATGTAAAGATGGCTATCAATTTTAGATGTTAAGGTACGTATAAAGCTAAAAGCAAAAGGAACCTATACTCACTGCCAGTGACCAGTTGAGTGATAACGTTAATTTTGTGCGAAAATTATTACTGGACAGAGCACAGTGCACAAAATTAGCCAGCCAAACTACTGAGTATCTGTGATAATCTAGTGAAAAATCAATCTGTGGCCCTGGTTAAGGGTAAAACGTACCCTGGCATAACCTCTTAAAAGCAAACAGTGTGTTTTAAAACAATTAGCAAGATAATTAATGAAATATGTTTTTATTCCTAGACTATAACTTAATTACACAAATATGAGCCAGAAAAAAAGACATTTTGAAGATGTTACGAATCGATGCCATTATAACCTTCTAAGGAATGTTTTAACGTGATGTTTTAAAATATTTCTCAGCCCAAATGAATAAAAGTGAGAAAAACATTTTCGGTACTTTTTAAAATGTTATTATATAAACATTTGCGGAATGCGTTTGTGCTACCTACACTGTACCTAAGTAAAGTTATTTACGCAATGGACAGGTTAATATCAAGGACGACTGCGTCAGTTCAAATTGCTATTTTGCCACACATTTAACAATAGCGCACTCAGGTCAATACTGGTGTTGTATAAGTGTTTGTGGTTCTGGTCGTCGTGGTGGGCACGGGGTTGGGGGGCACATAGAATGTGGGCACTATCTTCACCCTCCCCCCCCC